AAAAAAAAAAAAATAAAAAAAAAAAAAAAAAAAAAAAAAAAAAAATAACAATGATATGATTATGACAATCAAATAACAATGAAAAGATTATATTTAAAAATGGATGACGATAATATGGTAATGATAATGACTAAAATTCGATATATCCGCCTGCATTCTCGACGCATTTTTGACACCTTTTCGGGATATCTTGCACGGCTTTTCTCAGGAAAAATCGGTAGGAACAGAATCCATTACGGTCTTGATTCTGTCCTTGAGCTCTTCACCAGTTTGTGGTTGACAGTTTTATGTTCTTTCTCATCACGATCCTTCATCCTTTTTTTCTACAATTTTCATGAATCCAATCGCCTGTTTTTTTGTCGATGTATCCACCATACCAAAAACCCAAATTTTACAATCGGGACTTATGTTGGCACGCTGTAATTGTTTTGAATTATTATGCCAAAAACAAGACTCGTCTGCTTCAAATATTATTTCTTCTCCTCCTAATCGGATAGGATTTTCTATAGAACATTATAACTGTTGATTTTCGTTCCATAAATAAATCGCAAGACATGACCAAATTACCATCCGTTTCAATAAAAGAACCAACAATTTTATGTCTTCATCGTTCGACAAATAAAATACAAATGAACAAAATTCGCATTCGAATATTTCATATTCGAATTTCCGTATTGAATGTTCGAATTTAATGTTCGAATTCGAATTATCAAAATTTCTTCAATATAAAATTTTTTCGGGAAAAATTCTTCAATTTATAATTTTTTGTTTTCCGAAAAGATTTTCATTCTTTTTTTTATTTAATTTTGGCCACTACCACCACCAACATAATTTTCCGATTGAACATTGTGACTATTCCCCGTTTTTTTTTTGCGTTCAACGCATTTATTATCAGTGCATGCATAAAACATAAGAGTGGCGCTATAATCGGTTTCGTGTAACAAAAAAAAAAACAACAGACAAAAAAAAAAAAAAAGCTAAAACGCAATACGCGGCTATCACATAACCATCATCATCATTTTGGATGATAAAACAAATGATGATAAAATTGAATTAAAAAAAAATGAAAAACGCAACTCAAAAACGTGTGCATGCATATGGAAAACTTGTATAAAAAAAATATAGTAAGGATCTACATAGTGGTGTGAGAAGAAAATAAATCCTCTCTCTCTCTCTTGATCGATCTATATAAAATGTATATCATCGAATGTGAGACTTGAAAAAAAAAAAAAATATCTCATAATCGGCAGTCGCAAATATTTTATTTTTTTTTTTTTTTTGTTGAAAAAAAACAACTTTGGAAAAGTGAAAATATTAATAAAATCGTCGTCAGCATCGTTTTTTTCTGTTTGTTTGTAAAACTTGCATCATTTTTTTTTCTTTATTCACAATTCGGACGCAATATTTTATTTTATTTCATTTTTACTTTTGGAACATTGAAAAAAATCGAGGTATGTTTTTCTCATGTGGTTAAAATTTCAATTTTTTCATTTGATTTTTTAATTTTTGGTTTCCAGATTCCGATCGAAAATTCACAATTTGAAAATTCATAATTGTTGTTTTTCTTTTTGGCCACTGAGTTCATTTAATTGACGAATTTTTTTTTTCTTTCACTTAATTTTCGTTTATTTGAATTGAATTGAATTTGAATCACACAAAAGTGTGTTCCAAATAAAACCCAATTATATGACGTCTTTATTGGAAATTAGTTTCGGTATGTTTTGTTGTTTTATTTGTTTTTTTATTGTTTTACTTTTGATTTGTTTGTTTATCGAGTTTTGAGTATAAATATCTTTACGCTTTCGTTTATGCCCAAGACAATAATTTGTAATTTTTTGTTTTTTTAAATAATTCTTTTACTCTTTTACTATAGTCGCAAACATAATCCATCACGAGTGGAAAAAAAGGCCAAATAGTAAACAATACAATTTGGATTTTATACGGCATCAATTTTTTAATATTAATTTTACAGAATCATCATCGTTTATGACCGAGCAATTATTTTGGTAATGTTTTTATTTCGATTTGTAACATTTTTTTTTTATACTGAAAATTATCTATTTGGCCACAGGTTTTCTAAGCATTGCATTAGAAGTCGGAAAAAATATACCTGATAATCAATTTTAATCTGAAAATCTTAAACAACAACAGTAACAACAAAGTCTGAATTATAACAAGAATAATAGGAAAATAGTAAGAAAAAAAGAGAATAAAAGATAAATCATGGCAAGTGTTAATGTAAATCGTAATCTAACCGATCAATTTTATCGTTATAAAATGCCAAAATTATTGGCAAAAGTTGAAGGAAAAGGAAATGGTATTAAAACAGTTATTGTTAATATGGTTGATATTGCTAAAGCATTGAATCGTCCACCAATGTGTATGTTTTGTTGTTTTGTTTTTGTTTTATTGATTGATTGATTTTTGATTGATAATTTTCAATGAATTTTATTATAGATCCAACCAAATATTTTGGCTGTGTACTTGGTGCACAAGTAAATTGTGATGTAAAAAATGAACGTTATATTGTAAATGGTTCACATGATGCAACACGTTTACAAGATTTATTGGATGGTTTTATAAAAAAATATGTACTTTGTGCTTCTTGTGATAATCCTGAAACAACATTATTGGTTAATCAAAAAAAAGGTACAATTAGTGCATCATGTAAAGCATGTGGACATTTAAGTACAATTAGTTCACAAGATAAATTAACAACATATATTCTGAAATGTCCACCTGATCAACAACATAATGCACCCGGTGCATCAGTTAGTAAACGAAAGAAAAAAGAACGTGATGATACAAAATATCGTAAAGATGGACAAAATGGTCGTAGTGGTAGCCCGCAACATGATTCAGATGAAGCAACAACAACATTAAATGAAACAAATGGTGGTGAACAAAAAATCGATCCAGATAATGATTGGTGTGATCCAACAGATGTTGCCGAAGATCTGGATAATAGTGCATTGAAAAAATTAACATTGAATGAAGATTTAGAAAAATCTGTTCATCAACGAATGCAAATTTTTTATGATTTTGTTAAGGTAAATTCTTTTTTAAAATTTGTTTCAATTAACTAATTATAATTAATCTTGTGTGTGGGGTGAATTAGGAAAAAATACCAACAAATGGACCGATTGATGTTTCAATACAAAAAGAAATTGTTGCTGAAGCTGAACGTTTAGATGTAAAAGATAAAGGTGTTATTGTACTTTGTGAAGTTTTATTTCGTGATCCGATTAAAATTCAGGAAAAAATTAAAACAAATCGACATTTATTTTTACGCGTAAGTAGAGTTTCTATTGTGGTGTGTGTGGTAGTGAAAATAGATCAAGAATGAATTTTCATTTTACCATTTTTTTTCATTTTAGTTTACAATGGATAATCCAAAATGTCAAAAATATTTGATACGTGGTTTTGAATTGACTGTAAAAGAATTTCCAAATGAATTACTTCCACGTGTTGCAATGATTTTGAAAACATTTTATGATTTTGATATTTTGGATGAAAAAGTTTTAATCGATTGGGCTGATAAGGTAAATAATTGAATGAATGAATGAATGAATGAATGATAATTTCCAAAAAAAAACTTTTCACATAAATCGGTTTTTTTAATTTATAGAAAAAATCTGCCGTCAAAGAATTGGGAACACAAATTTTTGAAAAAGCACAAAAATTTATTGATTGGCTTAAAATTGCCGAAGAAGAAGATGATGATGATGATGATGATGATGATGAAGAGGATGAAGTACAAGTTGTTTATGATGAACGAATTCGACCGGATAAAATTATTGAATTGGAAGATAGTAAAAAACAAACGGAAGAGCTGAAAAAATCATCTGAAACTAGAGATAAAGATTTGGATATTGATATTGATGCTATTTAAATGCAGTCAATACTAATGGTTTTTTAAAATCGAATTTGAAAAGCACCAGGCAAACAAACAAAAGAAGAGTTATACAACAAAACGATCCTATAATGTATTGATCGAGATTTATATTTATTAATTCTTTCTATCTGATGAATGAATGAATGATGATTAAAAATTGATGATTTTTATTAAAGTTTGAAAATTGATAATTTGAATTTTTTGAAAAAATTTTAAATTTTTTTGCTTGATTGTTTCAACAACTATGTTGACATGATCAGTATTGATTATGTAACAATAGGCAAAAGTATATTTGTTTTGATGAGCTCGTTTTTCGCTTTATTATTTGTTGACGTTGATGATTATGTTGTTTTTGTTTTGTTTAGTTGTTTATGAGTGATATCAAATAGTTTATTTATTATAATCACACCTTTCAATCATTTTCCAATTCCAAAACAAAATTTGATTCAAATTTCATTGAAATTTTGAAAAAAATCAATTTAACATTCGAAATTTGAAAACATCATCATCATCATCATTTGATAAGTGGTCGTTTTTTTTCATTTCGTTTCGTTTTGTTTTATTTCGCACTTCATTCAAAAAAACAAAACATTATTTCATCAATCAATCATGATTAGTATGTCTCAAGAGGAAATTATTGCCAATACTAAAACAGTTGTACAAGGATTGGAAGCATTGAAAAATGAAAATTGTACAATATTATCTGGCCTATTACAATCATTACAATTGGTTAAAGAAACATCAACCAAATCTGGTAATAATGATGTAAATACACGTTTGATGGAAGAAAAAGCATCGATTATTAGAAAAAGTATTGAATCAATTGATTTAGGTCTGAATGAAGCTCATGTAAGTGTTAAATTCGAATGTTTTTTCCACTGACAAACTGACCACCAATGATATTATTCATTGATAGGTAATGATGGCTTTAGCTGGACATTTACAAAGTATTGAAGCAGAAAAACAAAAATTTCGTGCTCAAGTAAGACGTCTTTGTCAGGAAAATTCATGGTTACGTGATGAATTGGCCAATACACAACAACGGCTACAACTTTCCGAACAAACAGTTGCACAATTGGAAGAAGAAAAAAGACATCTTGAATATATGAATTCATTGAAAAAATATGAAACCGGTGAAGCTAGTGTAAGTAATTTATGCTTTTAATGATTTGTTGATTTCATCTTTTTTGTTTTTTTTAAAGGTTTCCGAAGAAAGTTCTACATCAAAAAGTAAAACTGATAATGAAAAAGATCCATTAGATCTTGGATTTCCCGATGATGATGATGATGATAATGTTCATCCGGGTGGCCTTACATCAACACCACCCGGTTGTCAGATGGCAACCGGTGGTAATCCTGGTTACGAAATACCAGCACGTTTACGTACATTACATAATCTGGTTATACAATATGCATCACAAGGACGATATGAAGTAGCTGTACCATTATGTAAACAAGCATTAGAAGATTTGGAAAAATCTAGTGGTCATGATCATCCTGATGTTGCTACAATGTTAAACATTTTAGCATTGGTTTATCGTGATCAATATAAATATAAAGAAGCGGCTAATCTATTGAATGATGCATTGGCTATCCGAGAGAAAACATTGGGTGAAAATCATCCTGCTGTTGCGGCTACATTAAATAATTTGGCCGTATTGTATGGAAAACGTTCACGTTATAAAGAAGCTGAACCATTATGTAAACGTGCATTAGAAATACGTGAACGTGTACTTGGCAAAAATCATCCAGATGTTGCAAAACAATTAAATAATTTAGCATTATTATGTCAAAATCAAGGAAAATATGATGAAGTTGAAAAGTATTATATGCGTGCATTAGAAATATATGAAAGTGCACTTGGTCCGGATGATCCAAATGTTGCTAAGACAAAAAATAATCTTGCATCAGCTTATTTAAAACAATCAAAATATAAAGAAGCTGAAGCACTTTATAAAGAAATTCTTACACGTGTTCATGAAAGAGAATTTGGTAATATAAATGAAGAAAATAAACCAATTTGGCAATTGGCTGAAGAACGTGAAGAACGTAAAAATGGTACACCAACTATTTCCGATTATGGTGGCTGGTATAAAGCTGTTGATAAATGGTATTTTTATCTATTCATTTTTATTTTTGAATTTCTTTTTCATCAATTTTTTTTCTGATCAAATGTTTTCATTCTACAATACACAATACAACATTAGTCCAACGGTTGCAACAACATTGAAAAATTTGGTCGCATTATATCGTAAGATTGGCAAAATGGATGCAGCTGAAGTTTTGGAAGATCTGACTGCTGCACGAATCAATAAAGATGTAAGCGAAATTTCCGATAATGATGATGATTTTGATTAATATTTTTTCCATCAATTAGAATCATGAATTAACAGGCAACAACAACAACAACAATAGGCAAGGCAAGTTTAATTATATAAAAAATAATAGTGATTATGATTATAAAGTAAACAATCAACAACTCAAAGATAAACGACGATCATTAATTTTTAAGGATAGTTTGGGACGTGGATCTCAGGAATCGTTGGAAACCACCAACAACAACATCAACATCAACGCCGGAACAATCGAAATGACTTCATCGACATCATTAACATCACCACTACCACCACCATCATCATCATCATTATCATCATCATCGTTCATGAATGATAATAATAACCATAGAGTATGTGAGAATATTTTGTTTTTTTTGTTAATTTTTCAATTTTTTTTTCTAACAAAATTAGAATTCATTATCATCATCATCATCATCATCGATTCTTCGTTTAGTATCATCAAATTCATTTGGTAATCTAGTGGAACAACAAAATAGTGGTAACAATAATTTATCAAAAATCAATTTAAAATCCAAACTATTTAGTGCATTGGGTTTTCCACAACAACAACAACAACAACCACCTTCTTCAACATCACCAAATTAATTAATCACTTATTATTATTATCAACTTTAGTTTTTTTCTTTTCTTTATTCTATTCCTTCAAAAGAATTTTACTTTTCATCATTTTTGCCTGAAACAAAACAAAAAAAAATCGACGACATTTGTTCCTGAAAAAAAATTCCAGAGACGACATCAAATTTGATTCTTTAACTTTTAATTTCTAACAAGAAAAAATTCTTCACTTCGTTTCGACATTTTAAATTATATTATTTCTTCTTTATTATTCTTTTATTCTAGACTGTGATATATGTATGTTTTTATAACACAACAGCAAAGATTTTAAACAAACGAAAACAAAAAATTACTTGAATGAATTTGTATTAGAAAAAAAAAATGATTTTTATACTCATCATCATACACTCAATGATTAACACTTCCATCACATCATACACATGCATAATTCACTTTTAAACATCTTACTCTTTTTCTTTTCTCTCAACATTCAACATTATTTTTAATTTAATTTAATTTTATAATCAATTAAAATTGATTATTGAAACAATTATTTGATGGTCAATGAATATGAAATTGTCTTGTTCAATTTAATAATTATGAAGCTACGCAAAACATTCGAACCATTTTTTTCTGAATTGGATTTTGGATTGTTGTTAAAATTTTCACCATTTAAACCTTGTTCAAATAGGGAAATGAAAATAGTCGTCGTCGTCATCATCATAATCATATGTGTGATTATTGTGACAGACCAAACAAAACAAAATCATGATGGTTTATCATCAATTTTTTATCATTTTGTTTACATTATCATCATTTTGATTTGAAAATAAAAAACAATCGTGAAAAAATGTTTTCATTATTATATGGTTTTTGGCGTTATTTATTTCAAAAAGATGAATATTATATACTAATATTGGGTTTAGATAATGCTGGTAAAACAACATTTTTAGAGCAAACAAAAATATCAATGAATCCCAATTATCGTGGATTAAACCTTATGAAAATAAGCTGTACAGTTGGATTAAATATTGGTAAAATTGATAATAATGGTGTTATATTAAATTTTTGGGATCTTGGTGGCCAATCTGAATTACAATGTCTTTGGGATAAAGTCTGTTTTTTGTTTTTATTTATTTTTACAATGTTTGATTTTTTTTTCATTTTATCATCAATATCCAAAACAGTATTATGCTGAATCGCATGCAATTATTTATGTGGTCGATTCATCTGATCAGCAACGATTGGATGAATCGAAACGTGCATTCGGTAAGGCTTTGAATATCAAATTTTTAAATTTTGAATTAAATTTTTATTTTTTACAAAAAAGAAAAAATGATTGAAAATGAATCGTTAAAAGGAACGCCATTATTATTTGTGGCTAATAAACAAGATGTTTCGGTAATTAAAATGAAACCAAAACAAAAAATAATTGTGACTTATTAATAATTAATTTGATTGATTAGTGTATGCCAATAACAAGGATAATGGATGAATTTCGTTTGGAAACAATCATATCAGCCGCACAACGTGATTTTCATTTTGTTGCCGTTTCGGCTCTTAAAGGGTAATTTTTCTTTGTTTGTTTGATTGAAATTCATTTCTTATATTCAATCCATTTTTAAAAACAAGTGATGGTATTAAAGAATCAATCGATTGGATTATCGAAACGGTAAAAAAGAACAGTGTTTTTAAACCACCAATCAATGTAACTGAATAACAGGTAAACAAAACAACAACAATTTTGTAATGAAATGTTTATATATTAAAAAAAATTAAACTTACTTTTAATGAACAAAAAAAAATGTAATTTTAAAAAAATGATAAATTCTTTTTCTTATTAATGTTTAATTTTTTTGATAACCACTTCGCTGTTATCCACCATTTCAATATGTTCATTGAATTTTTTTACCCATTCTTTTAATGATTCCTGTTGTATGATAAAATGAAATTATTATCATTTTTTTTTGAAATAAAATTTTTTTTACATTTTCCGATAAAGCTTTATCCCAAGGATTTATTTTCGGTCTTTCGATATTATTATTAATCGATTGCGATAAATTATGATGATAATCAAACTCTTGATGATTTGGTGTTGAACATCGAATAAATAATGGTTCGAAATCATCTTCACCAAACTATATGTAGAGAACAAACAAAAAAAAAAACAAAATTCAATTTCATATCAATAAAATCATAATATTTACATGATCAAATTCAAAATCATCATCGATTCCTGAACTATCCGCATCTCCATCATCATTATCATTTTGTTGTTGTTGATGTGGTTGTTCTTGTTCTTGTTGAATGATGATTTCGGATTTTCGTTTGTTATTTAATTCTATGGGTTCAATTTCATCGTTTGATAAAAGGAAATCATCGATAACATCACGACGTATTGTTGATGATGATGATGCTTCTAATCGTTGTGATCGATTAGATTTGAAAAATTTTCGTCCACTCATTTTCTTGTTTCGAGAGAATCGAAAAACAAAACAAAATTCGTTGAAATTTATGAATCGAATGAATTTGCTATAACGCGCGCGAAACTCAATTCCATCGAACTCATTCGACACACATACACATCTGATACCACCTGGAACGATTGATTCGGGTGGAAATAGTTTCGAGTAAATTTTTTTTTCTTCTCTGTTCGTCGTTAATTTTCGTAAAAGTTTTTCAAACAAAATTTTAATTTTATTTTTCATTGATTTTATCCAAATACAAGATTTGTAATTTTTTTTAAATGTCTTCCATGGAGAATGAAAATAATGGTGATAATGATGAAATGGTCGATATTGATAAAGACGATTCAAATGATGATTCCAGTTCTAGTTCATCATCATCGGATGAATTTGAAAGTTCAGGTAATATATTGAATTTTAATGGAATTCTCGTTTTTAATTCTGAATTTGATTCATTTTATTTACAACTATAAATTGATAAAAATACAGATTTCGAATGTGAAGATAAAGATGAAAAATATAACAACATAGTAATAGATATTGAAAAACAATTCTATCTCATACAAAAATTATATAAAAATGAAAAAAATTTTGAAATCGATTCGAAAATACAACAAATATTGGATGGAATAGCACCAGAATATCTGCAACCATATGAAGAATTAATTTCACAGAATCGAATTCGTATAGAAATAGCTGAATTAATACGGAATTTTCGTCTGAATAATTTGAATCAATTTTATGATGCTGAAAAATTGGCAGCCGAACAAAACTATAAGGTAAATGATTTGTTGTTTTTTAAACTAAAAAATTTCAAAAAAAACTTTTTCTCTATTTTCAAATAGAACGAAAAAGAATTATTAAAAGATTCGATACGTAAAGATGTTGAAGAAAAGATACAAAAATTAAATGAAGAACGTTATAAAGCTGATAGTGAATTTTTTTCCGTATCAATTAATTATATGAAAAAATCAAGAAAATATTCTTATAATGATGATTATAATAATAATAATAATAATAGTGGTGTTGGTGGTGGTGGTACAAGTGGCCATAATGAAAAACGACGAAAAGCTATACCAATAAGCGGTCCATATATTATACATCGATTAAAAGAAGATGAAATTAAAGAGGATGTAAATTTTATTAAATGTTGTTTGAGATCACAGAAAAATAATTACAGTATGCATCATAATAATCATAATCATCATCATCATCAATATTTGCATCATTTTTAAATTTAAGAAGAAAAAAAAAACATTCATTTTTTTTGAAAATAATAATAATAAATTTCCATATTTATAAACATATATTATTTACGAAAACTACATAAAACTGGACCAATATGTTCCATTGTTTCTTTAATTTGTAAACGATTACGTGCACCTGTTATTAATAATTTTCCCGAAACAAATATTAATAATACTGTACGTGGTTGTACCATACGATAAATAAGTGCGGGGAAAAAATCCGGATCATATGTACAAAATTGTGAATGAACAATTGATAATTTATCTAAACGTATAGGAAATTTCATATCCACTGTGGATACAACATTTTGTATTTTAAAATCCGTTAATTTTACCTGTTTTTTTTCGTTTAAAAAAAATTAGAAATTCAATTTTGTTGTTGACAATAATGAAAGTGACTTACATCGTTACCAAGTTTTTGTACAATACGAGCAAATTTACGACAAGAAAGACATGCAAAACGTTCATTTTTAGCACCAGTAATAACAATTTTACCTGATGCAAATAATAATGCTGTTGTTCGTGGTTCAAATATACGCATTATAACGGCACAAAATCTTTTCGGATTATATTCAGCATTTCGTACACGGATGGCAATTTTTGATAATTCTAATCGACAATTAAAATTTGCTGTTGCAACTACATTATGTATAACTGGTTCATCAATATTCAGCCAATTATTATGATTGTTATTGATTATTGACATTATTGATGTTGAAGATGATGATTGTTGTTGATTATTTCCAGAATCATCATCATCATTCGAATGATCATTTATATTACCATCATCGATTTTATCAATCATATGACCATCATCATCATCATCAGTAATATTTTGATTAAAATCTTCTTTAATTACAAAATGATCATCGTTTGTTTCAAAATCGGAATCCATTTTTTTTGCTTCGGTTATTTGGTCGATGGAAAAAATACGAATCAATCATCAAATCTGAGCAGCATGGACTATTCAATATTAACTGTGTTCAAACTTGACCAAGTGGCGACATCTGTTTGCCAATTTTTTTCAATTTCAATTTTATTTTAAAAAATAATTTTTATTTATTCTATTTATTATTTACATGATTGTAATACTTCATTACGCATTTTTAAAACTAAATCCTGATTAATATGAAATAAAAATTTCAATGATGAAAATTCAATCAATGAATTATGATAAATTTGTAATGATGATTGTGTTATTAATGGTTTTGAATCAATATAAATTGGTCGTTTACCAGTATTATAAATAATAAATTCTCCGGTTGATTGAAAATTTATTATCGCTTGTAAACGTGATATTTTTGTTGATGGTCCTTCCAATGAAAGATCAACATCGACAACAAAATCTTTTGTTATACGACCGATTGTAATTTTTGTTGAACGCATTAAATAACGTACTAATCGTCCACGTAATACAGCATATGTATTATTATCAAAATCAGATGGTGCAACTCCGGTAATACTATCCAATAATATTTGAAATTTTGGTAATTCATTTTCTAGCATTCGAATTTCCATCATATTTTTTCTCATACTATGTTTAATTTCTTGTTGCATTAATTCATTTGATTCAATTGTTGAATTCATTATTAATTCATTATTTTTCATTTCTTCTTGTAATTCTTTTTTAACTTCAATTTCAATTTCAGAAAAATTTACAACACTTTCATGCCTTGGTAATGGTTGTAATGATTGATCATCAAGTAGATTATAATGTTTTAATAATCTCCATTGTTTTAATAATATTTTCGGTGTACGACTTGACAGAAATATTTCCGAATTCATATCAATTAATTCTTGTAATGATTCTAATGTTGGTTCTTTTCTTGATTCTAATTTTTTCAATAATTTTTCTTCATTATCATTAAATAATGCTTTTGATTCAATCGATTGAACAATATCTGAATGTAATTGCCGAATGGCAGCTAATGCAAGATTTTTAACATTTTTATCATATAATAATGAACGCCATCGTTGTTCAATATCTAAATAGGTAAATTTACTTGAAAATTTTATACCATCATAAACTTTTCGTAAATCATTTGTCTGCTCAACATTAATGATCAATGCAAGATCATCGGTTGGTTTCCAGAAATTATTCTCTTCAATCAATTGTGATGTTACGATTGTACGTTTTTTATTTTTCTTCTTTTTTTCCGTTACGTTCGAAGTTAACGATAATGAAGCAGCTGCTGCGGATGATGATGATGGTGTTGATGGTATTTGTGATGATGATTTTGATGATTGACGTTTCGATGATGATGATGATGATGAAATAATGGTAGCAATACCGGCAGCAATTGCTGGTGTTGATGGTAATGATGATGAGGATGATGGTTCATTTGATTGATTTATAATCGTTTCATTAAAACTACTACCACCAACAAAACCACTTTCCGAATATTCACCTAATTCATATTTACGATCAAATTTTGGTTGATGTTTTGGATATGATGTACTTGTACTATCAACTAATTCATCATCAAATTTTTTTCGTTTTATCGAACGTGATGATGCACGTCTTCGTGGACAATTATCATCAAATGTTGATTCTTGAATTGTTGTCGGTGTATTATGTTGTTGTATTATTCCGGGCGTTTTATCCATATCTTTTATTCAAAATAATATTCAATGAATTTTTTTTTTTTGATGAAACATTCGGTCAAAGAGAACAAAACAAACACATTTTTTTTTACTCTTTGTTTTCTTTTCACCTATTATGATCCAATCGAATTCCATAATGTGTAAATAGTTGAAAAAAACCGTTTTAAAAAATTCGATTCGAGAATTCATCCGATTCGAATCAAAGATTTTCCTGAATCGTTACCGATCAATTTCAAATTTTCCCGAAAAATTAAATTAATTTTCTTTTTGCTTTCAAATCCAGTTAAAATTAAAATGTTTTCGGTTTTCTCGGTGTTTTCTATACCCTTCTCCCCCCAAATGTCTTACTGCGTGTGTGTTTGGTGGTGATAGGGGGATGAACTGAATAATTTAAAGAAACTTGTTGTTCGTTGAAACAAATGCTCAACCTATAAAATACCTGTCATAGCTGCCGCTGCTTTCAATGAATGTTTTCTTTTAGCATATTCATTCCGAAGACATCCATCCATACATCTCTAAACACTCGCGAACTCGAATTGATGTTCATCAAAGAATGTCTAATGTGTGTATGTGTGTAGAAAATAATCATGGTCAATTCATCATGGCGACTATCATCAACTAAGTATACTTAAAAAAAAGGTACCTTGCTATCGTCTCTACACCACTACACACCATTAACCACTATCACTATAACTTTGTTTGCCAATTTTTTTTTTTTCGTTGTTATATGCTGCATCAATTCTCATTCATCAATCCATGATATTCATCTTCATCAACATTAACATCGAGCCTACGTTATTACTTTTAACTTAGAAAATAGCTTTGGCTCTCCATTGAATTTATATGGTTGTTATGTTGTTGTTGTTGTTGATGATGATGTTTACATTCTTGTTCAATTCAATTTTTTTTGATTAAATGAGCCATATAGATGATGCTCTTTTTTTCTTCTTCTATTTTCATTATATGAAATGAACTATGCGTTGACACACCTTGGCCACGGTCGTCGTCATCAACATCATTATCATTATTAACATCGACGTTGTTATTTCAAATTTGTTTTTTTTTTGTTTGTATTCAAAGAATTTTTTTCTATATTCAAAAGTAAATTAATTCAGCATAATAACCGAAAACAAAACAAAACGACAACGACAAGTTAATATTGATATTTTTCTTATTGTTCCATTATCATCATTTGGATTAAAATCCACAGCGAAAAAAAAAATGTTTGGTAAAAAGAAAAAGAAGCCATTAATATCGGCACCAACAAATTTTGAACATCGTGTTCATACCGGATTCGATCGTAAAGAAGGTTAGTGGAAATTTGATTTTTTTTTTTTGAAAATAATTTCAGATTGTATTAACCTGTTGCTTTTTTAGGAAAATTTGTCGGTCTTCCACCACAATGGCTTTCACTTATACATGGTGGTAGTAATAATAATGGTGGTGGTAATTCAAATCGTCCAAAACCGATAATCGATCCATCCAATATAACACCAACCGAAATAATGGATATTAAAAGTCATACAATTGTTCGTGGTCAAAATTCTTCGGTTAATGTTGCTACAGCATTTATTGCGGCAAATAATAAAGATATAAATAATAGCGGTGGTTTACAATTATCAAGCCGAAGTTTAGTATCACGTTCAAATTCATTACGTCGAATTGAATCACCACAACCATTGAAAAAGAAATTTAATCAATTTAATCAACAACAGAATTTTATTGAACAACAACAGCATAATGAAAATGTGATAAATCATCAAAATGATATTCATAATCATTATCATCATCATCAACAACAGCAACAACAACAACAAATGCTGATGCCAAATAATCAACCTCCAATACGTCCATTTAATCTTCATCATCATCAAAATCATAATAATCATCAACAACAAGTTCCATTACAACAAACAATGACAACATTAAATTCAACAATGGATTCAATACATCAATCATCATCATCACCATCATCATCATCAACAACCATAATGAATCCATTATTAAGTACAGCAAATAATTTTATGATGGCAAATAAAATATATCCGGCACGTAATCCTGCACCGGTTTTTCAATATCAAGTTCCTCCACCACCACAACCACCACCAATATCATCATCATCATCATCATCAATACATTCGAATGGACATTTTGTACAAAATGGTGGTAATAATAATAATAACATTAATAATCATCATCATAATATGATGAATCAACAACAACAACAACAACAACAACATCAATCAACAATGATGTCAAGAAATAATTTTAATTCAAACAAAATCCGTTATGGTATATTGCCACAAGTTCAACAGGCAAATTTTATTTCGCATAATAATAATAATGCTAAAATTGTAACAAATCTATCAAATAATAATAATGCTAATTATCATAGTAATCATCATCTACAACAACAACAGCAGCAGCAGCAGCAATCATTACCAAATCAAATGAAACAACAAACAATGATTTATCAACATCAACAGGAAAATAATCCTGATCTAATTTCAACAGCAACAACAACAACAAATTTAAATAATCGTATTATGAATTCAACTAATAATAATAATAATAATAATAATAATAATGCTCATCATTTTTCATCAAATAATTATATTAATCAAGTTAATCAAAATCTATCTAATATGACTATACAGACAAAATCAATGAATCATTCAAAATTAAATGGTTCATCTCAACATCAACATCATACACAGGAAACACAATTAATGAATGGTGGTGGTGGTGGTGGTGAAATGACTGGCATACAACATTATAATAATAATAATAATCATCATCAAAATGTTACGAATGCATCAACAGCTAAATCAATGATTATAAATAATATGCAACATGGTAATGTTTCAACAACAAATCCAACTACAACAACGATGGCAACAACAACAACAACAACATCCGCAGCATCAGCAACAACAATAAATTCATCAACAGTTACTTCGGCAACTATTCAACAACAGCAACGTGTTACACATGAACAATTTCGTGCAGCATTACAAATGGTTGTAAATCCTGGTGATCCAAGGTATTTTGTTTGGCCATTAGGATGATGATGATGATGATGAATGATATCCAATTTTTTTGAAAAATTAATTCTGTTTAATTATTTCCTTTGTAGAGAATATTTGGAAAATTTTGTTAAAATTGGTGAAGGATCAACCGGTATTGTATGTATTGCCTATGATAAATCACAACAACGACAAGTTGCTGTGAAAAAAATGGATCTACGTAAACAACAACGACGTGAATTATTATTCAATGAAGTGGTCATTATGCGTGATCATCATCATCCAAATATTGTTGAAATGTATAATTCATTTTTGGTTGATGATGAATTATGGGTTGTTATGGAATTTCTTCAAGGAGGAGCATTGACCGATATTGTTACACATGCAAGGTTTGTGTTTTTCTTTTTGGATGATTGATGAAAATTTGTTGTTTATTATTCTGATATAATCTAAATTTTTACAGAATGGATGAAGAACAGATTGCCACTGTTTGTAAACAATGTCTTAAGGCATTATCATATCTACATTCACAAGGTGTCATACATCGTGACATTAAAAGTGATTCAATATTGTTAGCCAGTGATGGACGGGTATGAATTTTTATGATTAATGTTTTTGCCCTTAGTATGTTAACGAAAATTTTGTTTATTCAGGTAAAATTATCGGATTTTGGATTTTGTGCCCAAGTATCGAATGAATTACCAAAACGAAAATCTTTAGTTGGCACACCATATTGGATGGCCCCTGAAGGTTTTTATTAATTTTTTTTTGTTGTAAATTTTTAATTAAAATTTTTGTTTATGACAGTAATATCACGTTTACCATATGGACCAGAAGTTGATATATGGTCATTAGGAATAATGGTCATCGAAATGATTGATGGAGAGCCACCATTTTTTAATGAACCACCATTACAGGCAATGCGACGAATCAGAGATATGCCACCACCAAAATTGAAAAATTTACAAAAAGTTTCATCGAATCTTTTGAATTTTTTGGAAAAAATGTTGATACGTGATCCAAACAAACGAGCTACTGCTACTGAATTATTACAGCATCCATTTTTACGATCAGCCGGTCAGCCAAAATTATTGGTACCATTAATGAGACTTTCCTAATCAATCTAAATTAATTAATTGTTTATTTTTCGAAAAAAATCATCTTTTTTTCAGTATTTTTTTTTGTGATTGTAAATGTTTTTGTTTCAAAGATCATGTGAAACGAAAAAATTTTGTATTTATTTTTCTCAAATAATGCCAAATAAATTATTTTACCATTTTTTAAAAGCATGATTTTTTTTTAAAATTGAAATTATCATTTTAGACATTAACAATAGCTTTCGAATCAAGATATGATTTATATTGATTAAGAACTGGTTGAACTTCATCACGAATAAATTCCAAAACTTGATTCGGTGCACGACCAATAAATGTTTTTGGATCCAATAATTTATCCAATTCAGCATGTATTGGATTAAAATATGTATCTTTACGAACACGTTCGATCAGATCATTTGGTAATCCTAAACGTTTTACTTGTTCGGCTGCCTGATGTGATAGGACACGAATTTTTTCATGACATTCTTGACGATTACCACCTTTTTTAACCATAGCTACGATTATATTTTCGGTTGCCATAAATGGAAGCTCTTCATTGATATGTTTATTGATGACAGCTGGATAAACAACAGTACCTTCGAATATATTTTGCATTGTATTCAAAATAATATCGGCAGTAAGAAATGCTTCAGCTAATGAAATTCTACGATTAGCACTATCATCCAATGTACGTTCAAGCCATTGTACGGATGCTGTATTGAATGCATCAGCCGATAATGTAATTAAATGTCTGGCCAATGAACAACAACGTTCACTACGCATTGGATTACGTTTATAAGGCATAGCTGATGATCCAATTTGTGTATTTTCAAATGGTTCTTCAATTTCTTTACGATTTGCTAATAAACGTATATCGGTACAGATTTTATGTATAGCTGAACCTAATAATGAAAGTGACATTAAAACTTCGGCATCAACTAAACGGCTATATGTTTGTCCGGTAACCGGATATGAACGACGAAATCCAGCCATTTCGGTTACACGTTGATCCAATTTTTTTACTTTATCTTCATCACCATTAAATAATTGCATAAACGATGCTTGTGTACCGGTTGTACCTTTACAACCACGAAAAGCTAAATTATCTTTGGCACGTTCCATATTACGTAATGAAATTAATAGATCCTGAAGCCAAAGACATGCACGTTTACCAACGGTAACCATTTGTGCTGGTTGCTTTTGGAAAAAATTAAAATGAACAAAAATGAATGAATTTTCATTTATTATTTTCACTTACAAAATGTGTAAAACCAAGTGTCGGTAGATAATAATATTGTTCGGCAAATTTGGATACACGACTAATACAACGGGCAACTTTTGGTAAAAGAATATCGAAACCATCACGAATACAAATTAGATCGGTATTATCACCAACAAAACAACTTGTAGCACCTAAATGTACAATTTTTGCTGCTGATGGACATTTCTGGCCAAATTCAATAACATGTGCCATAACATCATGTCGTGTTTTTTTCTCTTCTTCAAATGCCATTTCAAAATCAATATTATCATGATTGTTTTCCATTTCTTGTATTTGTTCATCAGTAATATCGATACCTAATTCTTTTTCAGCTTTAGCCAATATGATCCATAAACGACGCCATGTTGAAAATTTTTTCATATCACTAAAATTATAATTCATTTCATCGGATGCATAACGCATCGATAATGGTGATTGATAACGATTCAAATGAAATTCGGTCATTTTTTTTGTCTTCTTAATTGCGGTCATTGTTTGCGGTTGTTTGGTTAAGGTTGTTGATGGTTTGTTTGTTGTGTCCGAAATAATTTCAACAGCAAAAAGTAAAAAAAAAATAAAATTAGAATTCAAACAAAATTTTTTAAAAAATCACGATGATGATGAATGATATAAATACCTTTTTATTTTTTTGGTCTCAACAAAAATATCAAAATCCACGAAACAAATCGAAAATCCAAACAAATAAAATATTTATCTATATTTTTTCAACAACAAAACAAAAAAAAATCGATTCGAAATAGTAAAAAAATCAATCATGTCATTTATAACAAAATATATTTGATCATGATCATCAAATGTCGCCATTGATCATCATTTGTTTATCATAATACTTACTGTATTTCACAACGAAAAAAAGATAAAATCTTCAATTTTTTTTTCATATACTTCGTCGAATGATATTAAATCAACAGCAACAACTATGCGCACCAATTCGAATTCAAAAAAAAAAAAAAAATCTAACCGAAAATATCATATGGCCAGGAAAGTTTACCGAAAGTATCCGTTCATATATAAAAGTACTTTGGAGAAATTTTTTCGTAAAAAAAAATTTTATTCGAATTTTTTGTTTCAAAATGACAATCAAAGTTCCAAAGTAAACAACATTTGGACAAAACAAAAAAAAACAATCCTCGTTAGGATTGCAAAAAGAAAACAATGTTCATGTCCATATCGAATTTGGAATGTTTGAATTTTTTCTTTCTTGAAACAAAACAAAAAATGAAAAATGTCAAAATTTAAATTGACTTGTCATCCAAAAAAACAAAACTTTATGGTGTGACAAATGTATAACGAATTCACTCTAAATGCATGACAAATAACTGAAGAAAAATATCCGAATCGAAAAGTGTTGAAAATGAACAATGTTCCATCGATTAGATTCCAATCGATTTCCCCTTAGAATCAATCAAATTCACCCCTTTTTTCAATCTAATAATTTACATTGTTTTCATCACAATGGTCAATGAAAAACAGAAAAAAAGTTAAACTTTAGAAATGAAGTATAAGAAGAAATGAAGCAATAAGGAAAAAAAAAGGTTGTCCACCGTTTTGAATTCAAATTTTCACAAACGAAAAAAAAGGAGGTGGATCCATTTTGGAACTTTGGACCCTTTGTATATCTGTGTGTGTGTGGCTTATTTTCTTCACTTGAATCGGGTATAGTCCAAAATAATGATACACAACAAGGGAGGGACATTATCAATAATGATTTTTTGTTTGTTTCTGGGACCTGAAATGGAATGAAAGAAAGAAATTTAGTTTAAAAAAAAACCAGAAAAATTTTCTTCGTATTAAAATTAATGGAAAATTCAATTTCTTCAAGAAAATGAAAAAAATCTAAATGTTTTTTTTTTTAAAACATCGGTTATTCATTTCATTCATTTCAATATAAGTGATAAAGGTGAATCAAAGCAAAAAAATCGAAAACCGAAAAAATCAATCATCATAATCTGATCAATTGATTTTCCATGTTTCTTGAACTTTAAGTGAAAATAAAAAAAAAATCTTGACGAAAAACTGTGTGTTACAAATCATCATTTCAGCCTGGATCATCCGATTTCAATCACCCAAAAGGGAAATCTCTTAAATTGAAAATTTGTTCAATGTTTTGGTAATGTTTTGCTAAAAAAATATTCATATCGTAATCGTTGTTTCTGGTAAGTGTTATCAGTTTTTTTATTCTTTACATTTTTTTTTGTTTCGTTTGATTTCGATTTGAAATCAATTCCAAATCGATTCAGAATTGAGAATGGATATTGCGCAATATCCATTTTGATGATTCAGATTCCAAGAACTAAGAATTATTATACAACAATTCTTTTTGAATTCTTTATCCATATCAAAATATAGAGAAAGAATTGAAAAAAAAACATTTTCAAATTCTCTATATAGAATATTCTGCTGGTGATTCTTTCTTTCTATGTTTTTTTTTTTTTGGTACAACAGAACTTCCATTCATTCTTTCATTCATTGTTTTCATTTGGTTGTGGTGTTGTTTGCCAAAATAATTTTCATTTTCATTTTCTTTTTTGGTCAAGGTCTTCTGACTGACTGACTGGATGAATGAATGAATGAAATTCTGCCGTTGTCGTGTTTGTCGATGACGTCGATGATGACGATGAAAATTTCATTTTCTATATAATCATGATGATGATGATGATGATTTTTCTTTTTTTATCATTCGAACAAATTTTTTTTACTACTACCATCATCATCATAATGATGATGATAATCGATTTTGTTCATCGTTTCGATTCTATCGTCTTCGCCAAAAACGAAAACACACAAACAAATAAATCAAATGTTCCAAATGGAACGTTTGAAATCGAACGAATCTTTCCTATTTTGAACGTAGGTTTCGAATTCGAACGTATATCTCCTATTTTCGAACGAATGTTTATCGAATTCGAATGAAAAAAATGACATCATTTTTTTTTTGCATTCAAACAATGATAATATTTATTCAAATTGATCTAACTTACCATTCATTCATAATCAATATGTTTATCATATTTATAGACATAATGATGATGATGATAATGAAACCATTTGAACCAAATCGTTAAATAACGTTTTTTCTTTTTCTTATCCAATAATGATTGATTGATAGGAATTTTTCAATAAATTTTCATTGATTTGATTGAAAAATGTACCAATATTGATTTGATTGCCATGATGATCACATATTATCAAAAGTAGGTTTGTTTGTTTCCGATGATTAGCGGGAAAAAAAGTAAATTATTTCATGGTTTTTTCGTCGACCAAATTAGCCAACAACATTAGTCAATCAACAATCAATTTTCTCTATATTTACATAACAGAATTGAAATGTGGCCAAATTATCTAGCCTAAAGTTTTACAATTAAAAACAAAAAGTCTAAAATGATAAAAACGACAATTAAAGAAAAATAAACAAACACACAAAATGAGTGGAATAATTCGACAAACAATGATTCGAAACACATCGATACAATCGATTAATTTAAATATCGATTGTATCGATATTTGACATTCTTTTTCCTCTTAAAATTTGACATCTTGAGATTTTCAATTGTTGTTGTTGTTATTGTTGCTCATTTCACTTTCGTTTGATTTTTTTTTTTCCGGAAAAAATAATGATTATTAAATTGAGAAATTTTCTGGTCGTTTTGTCGAAAGTTTGTAATCAGGATATTGTCGACATATGATACTTATTTACTAATCGATCGATCGATCGATACAATCGTCGTTTTTTTCTTGGATCTAATGGATGTCCAATGGATTGTTTAATCTCGAAATGAAAAAAAATGAAATAAAATCCTGGGTGAGACCTGTTTGATGATTTGAAATGATTCAAAAAATTTTTTATTTTCAATTTTCAGAAACCAAATACAAACGCGAAAGTGATCGAAAAATTACCCGATTGAAAGGCATTGATGCATGCTTCAATGAATTTCGATTAATTCAAAGAAAAAAGAAAATTGTACCAAATCATCATCATCATTTTCATTCAAACTGCATCGAAAAACCTGTAATATAATCATATTTCGATGGTCAAAGTTGGTGGATACCTTTGTAAATGAAACAAATCTTGAAAATTTCACATGATTACACAACAACAACAACAACAACCGATATTGACATTTTCTTTTCAATTTTTGTCCAAAAATTGTTTCGTAAAGGGTGACATTTGTTCGAAATAGAGAGAGAGTACCCAAAGGCTAAATTGATCATTTTCAAAAAAAAAAAATCAATCAAAGAAAAATAACCTTCATTTGTTTGTTTGTGACCTTTTGATCAACAACAAGATATGCACGCGAAATATTTTCTGATGAAAGGGTAAAATGTACATTTGTCATAAACATCATCATCATCATCATCATTGAAACCAGAAGGTGAAGGTTAACAAAAGGACAAACAAACAAAAAAAAAGTGAAAGAAAGAAAGAAATTTGCATCCTTTCCCACATAAGCCATCAGCATTACCATTTCCAAAATGCATCAATTGAAAATCTTATGAATCCCATTCATTCAGCAAAGCAAAGCATAAAACCCAGACACAAGAGCAAGTGTAAGTGTGGGAAACCAAATTTCAAATCAATATTCAATCCATTATTGGATCTTTCAAGTCTCTCTCTCTCTTAGACCATTGAAGGTCGTATTTGATGATGATCGTCAAGAAATGAAATGTTGAAAAAAAATAATGTTATGTAAACAAACATATAAAGAGTTGGACTTATAAAGATTTTGCTTCTACTTCGTTTCTTTTTTTTGGTATCATTTCATCATTTGATCCAATATTATTTCATCTATTCATCAGTTCAATTATGATGATGATTATCATCATCATCATCATCATCATTGATGATTGGTTGCGAATTTGCTCGCGATTTTTTTTTGTTTTGTTTTTGTTTTTTGATTTCCCACCTGTGGAACATATCACAACCCTTTATCACAAAAAAAAAATACTGACTGACTGTTCGACTGTGTAACCTTCAATCAAGGACAGCGTGATATGTATGTGTGTTCCAACAAAAAAAAAGAAAGTAATATTACATCATCCAATCTGTTCAACATTCCCACACAAATTTTTGGTGAAACGGGTGAAATGGGTGATGTTGAAACGATAGGGTTGAATGTTCGAATGTCACCTTCACCTTCAAGACAAACAAACAATCAACCAAGAAAAAGGTGACCTTTTTTTGTTCCCCCTTGAAAAATATCTTGAAAACGATGCTGATAAGGTTTTTTCCCAATAACAATAACGAGAGAAAAAAACGGTTTTCTTTGTCCAGACTTTAGTCCAAGGAAAAATGTCTTCATGTTTTTTTTTCATCTGAGGATCAGAAAATCAGGGATCGCGGTGTCTAAATAGACATTTTTTTTTCTTTCTTTCTTCAATTTCTTTTGTTTTGTTTCGAAGAAGAAAAATAATAAAAAAAATTGAAAGATGTAACGAATCAGCCTTATTTTTTTTTCTTCGATTATTATGCTAAATTGCCTCGATTTCACCCTTTTATTTTTAATTTTTCTTAGCTGGGATGTGAATTCAATAAGATGCTAAATAGACC